GGCAGCCGTGGCGCGTCGGTCGCATCTCCACACCCGGTCACAAGCGGGAGCCGGCACGGCGCGCATTCAGTTCACCGGTGCGTGCGTGGGTGAGCGGACACCTGCCCCCTCGTCTCCTCGCCCAGCGAGTCGCCCATGCGGGACGGCGGGCGGAGCCTGCAAGGAACATACGCCGCACCTCGGGGCGGGGGCGCGCGGAGCCTGCCGTGCTGAAGACGCAAACATCGGGGCGGGAGGACGGTGTTGTGCGGTGTCCTCTCGAGTCCTCAGAGCACAGTATGAGCACGGCACAGCCGAACACGTGTCCTCCTCTCGAGCGCGGGTTGGAGTACAAGGAACACGGCTTCCGCTTCTAGGAGGCGGAGCTGGCCAGGCAGCAGCTTGAAGCCGCAAGCCGGGGTGAGGCAGGCGCCGAAGTAGCGGCGCGCGTAGCTTGGCACGTCGGCGAGCGCCGCCGCGCGGCTCGGGACCTAGGGCCCACACACCCCCAGGCACTCCCCCTCCCCCCTCCCCGAGGGGTCCACACCCCTCGCCTCCCTCTCAGCAGCCTGGCGTCGGGTGTACATGGGTGGGGGAAGGGCGGCGACCCTAGATCTTGGCACCACTACTACACACTACCCCCCACGACGACGACGACGACTACTACTGCTACTGCTACTACTACTGCTACTACTCCTACTACTACTACTACTACTACTACTGCTACTACTACTACTGCTACTACTGGCGGGGCCCGCAGGTGTGTGCGCAGCTCGAACGCTGTCGTCGAGTTGGACCACATCTCCCACCTGTTCACAGCTAGAGGTGTGAAGAGGTGCCGTTCACAGCTGTCGTCGAGTTGGACCACATCTCCCACCTGTTCACAGCTAGAGGTGTGAAGAGGCGCCGTTCACAGCTGTCGTCGAGTTGGACCACATCTCCCACCTGTTCACAGCTAGAGGTGTGAAGAGGCGCCGTTCACAGCTGTCGTCGAGTTGGACCACATCTCCCACCTGTTCACAGCTAGTGTGAAGAGGACGCCCCGTCCACCCCTTCAGCTGCGCGACCTCACACGGCTCTCTCTTCTCCCCACCGGCAAGTGACGAGCGGGTGAAGGCTGAGGAGGTGTGAACAGCGTCTCTTCACACCTCTAGCTGTGAACACCGGCAAGTGACGAGCGGGTGAAGGCTGAGGAGGTGTGAACAGCGTCTCTTCACACCTCTAGCTGTGAACACCGGCAAGTGACGAGCGGGTAAAGGCTAAGGAGTCTCTTCACACCTCTAGCTGTGAACACCGGCAAGTGACGAGCGGGTGAAGGCTGAGGAGGTGTGAACAGCGTCTCTTCACACCTCTAGCTGTGAACACCGGCAAGTGACGAGCGGGTAAAGGCTAAGGAGTCTCTTCACACCTCTAGCTGTGAACACCGGCAAGTGACGAGCGGGTGAAGGCTGAGGAGGTGTGAACAGCGTCTCTTCACACCTCTAGCTGTGAACACCGGCAAGTGACGAGCGGGTAAAGGCTAAGGAGTCTCTTCACACCTCTAGCTGTGAACACCGGCAAGTGACGAGCGGGTGACGGTTGAGGAGGTGGGCCAGAGTCGTCGAGGCCGAGCGTGCGCGCGTCAGGAGGACGAAGCGGACGGCGCCGACCCGCCACGCCTCCCGCCACGCCGCAGACTACTTATCATCAGCCGTCAGTTGTTCAGATTGATCACACCATCCACGCCTCCTCCTCCTCCTCCTCGGCCTTGTGTGTAGAAGCCCCGGCTCCCCCGCCCGCTTCTTGTCCCGCCTCGAGCACCGCCGGCCCACGCGTCGCGCTTCTCCGGCGGGCCCCGCCCCCCGAGGCAGCCGGGCGAGCGAGGCCGAGCAGCTCGAGGGGCGAGCGGGAGTGGCACGAGGACTGTGTCGATGAACAGCTCACGAGTGAACAGGTGATTAGCTAGTAGCAGGCCAGCGCGACAGTGTGGCACGGCGCCTACCCATTAACGACTCGTGATGAAAGGCGGTTAGTGAATCGCAGGAGCGCGAGTGTGCAGGTGACGCCTCGTCGAGCAGAGGGAGGGCGGTGCACCAGCCGCTGGCCGAGAGGCCGCCGCCGCCGCGCGGGAAAGAGAAGGGCACGGGGACGGGGGAGCGGAGCTGGGCGCGGAGGCAGCTCCGCGCCGCGCTCTCCGCCTCGAAGGCGTCGCAGGCGGCGAGCGAGAGAGACGTGCCGCACAGGGCCTCGGGCGCCTAGCAGAAGCAGGCAGCCTTGCTTGCTTCCAAGCCGCTGGAGAGACGTGTGCCGCAGAGGCCTCGGGCGCCTTGGCCCAGTGCGTGGTGGTAGCCGCATCCTCGCCGCGCGCCTGAGTTAAGTAATGACTTCATTACCTCCTCCACTCATCAATCAATTAGTGGCGGTCGCCGCGTCCTCGGCCGCGCGCGCCTCCAGCGCCGCCTGCCGCTCCAGCTCGCGGGCAGGGCCCGGCTCGGAGGCGACGCCTACGCGAACGGCTGCTAGAAGGCTCCGTGAAGGCTCCTAGCAGGTCGCCGCGGACTGTGCCTCGGTGTGCGCGGTGTCGCCGAGGTAGGTCAACACGGACCTAACTCGTTAGCCAATTACTTATCCGAGGTAGGTCAGCACGGACCTAACTCGTTAGCCAATTACTTCATCAACAAGTGATTAGTGAGTGGTCAGGTAGGTGAGCACACCGGAGCGCGAGGAGCCGCTGCCGCTGCAGGTCCTCGTAGAGCAGCACCTAATTCGTTAATTAATTGCGTCGAATTCCTTAGTTAGTGCCGCGGCGGGTCCTCGAGAGCAGTACCATCCCGCTCGGCCTCCCGCCCGCGCCGAGCGACGCCCACGGGCCGTGAAGCACCTGCGACGCTTAACATGCATCATTCTCAGTCTCAGATCAACAGTGGAACCGCCGAGGGACGCCCCGGGGGCCGTGAGCACACACCGTCTGCCGCGAGAGCGCCTCGGCGGCCTTGGCGAGCAAAGCAGCAGGTGCCACAGTTCCGTTGAGGAGCGAGGAGGAGTCTAGCGAGGAGGAGGCGGCCGGCGAGTCGAGGGGCGGGCCGGACGCGGTGGCGGCGCGCAGCCGCCGCTTGGCGAGGCGGCGGAGGTCGCTCATCGCCATCTTGATCAGGTTTGTGCGGCAGAGCCAAACCGTGCGCAGCGGAGGGCCGCCGATCGTCGCGCCTCTCGCGATGGCGTCCCAGTCTGCGCCCGGCGCGTAGGCTGGGTTGAGCACGACGCCCGCGACGAGTGGCCGCTCGCGGCCTCGCCACGGCGGCAGCAGACTCGCGTTGCAGTGTCGCCGCCAGTAGCAGCTCCGCTCACGGTCCCTCGCAGCGACGCAGCGGAGCCGCCGGTGAGTGGCCATCGTCAGCGCCGCAGTGAAGAACGCAGGCGGACAGTGCTGCGCCGGCCGGCCGTCGGTGAACGGCTCGAACTCGAGCTGGACGCCGGGCACGGACTGGAGCTCCTTGCGAAGCCAGGTGGACCCGGTCCTCGCCCGTTTGAAGACGACGAGTCGCACTGAGCCGTCGCGCCGGCCGCTGTCGAGGCAGCCGGGCGGCGTGATGTAGGCGTCGAGCGACACGAGGAAGCGCGTGGGAGGGCTTGCCATCTTCGCTCGAAGTCCGGTCTCAACGAGCAAACGCGTGACAGCGTCTGACATGCATCGCGAAAAAGAATTTCGCGCGTGAAAGAAAAAAGAAAGGATGTGCATGTACACGACGATCGTCGCTTTCCCAGATGCACAATAGTTTCGATATGTTATACATATATCGTCTCTCTCATGCAACCGCTGCTCCGAGGTCTGACCAAGCAAGGCGCATGCGGGATGGGAGAGTGGAGGAGCAGGAGGGAGAGGAGCCACGCGTCTACCGTCGGCCTACCCTCGGTCTGAGCACTGTCTGTAGTGGCTGGAGGTCGGGGCAGCCCACACAGTGGGGAGTGACAAGAGGTCCTCGCGGAGAGGTCCTCACGGAACAGAACGAGAGGTCCTCGTGAACACATCGCGTGCCCCGCATCGCGAAAAAAGAAGTCTTCGTGTTGTAATGACCGCACTCCTCCAAGTTTAGCTGACAGAAGATCCCATGCGTAAGAAGCCCAGCTCTTGCACAAACATTTCGATAATGTCCATACACATCATTCCATATCTCTCAAGAGGCACAGCACCGCGCTGCACACGCCGAGGTCTGACCGAGGCGCACACGGGAGTGAAGGAGGGAAGGAGCCACGTCTACCCTGGGCCTACCCTCAGACGCGGGCTGAGCACACTGTCTGTATTGCAATAGTGTTGCACCAATAGTGGCTGGAGGTCGGGGCAGCTCACAACGGTGTGAGTGAGAAGAGGTCCTCACACAGACTGAGGTCCTCACCGAACAGATCTGAGGTCCTCACTCGAGAGGTCCTCATGAACACAGCACGTGCGCCGCATCGTGAGGATGAGCTCCGTCTGTACGATTCCGCGAGCGTGGCTGTCGAGAGACGGCTCTGACTCGCCAAATCCCAAGCAAGCAAGCATGAGGTGCACTTTTGGAGCTGAAGATGATCGTAGTAATGATTCATAATGACGTCATTGATTGATGTTATGCATTCACAGTGTTGATGTTATGCATTCACAGGGAAGGTGCTCCTCACTCGGTAGGATGTACGTGGTAAGTTGTCCTCCTTGATGTTCGTAGTAAGTTGTATCTTCATTCGCCTCCTCACGTCAAACCCAGCGGGCCGGGCACTTGGCAAATGAAAGAAGAAATCTGCGTCGAGCGACCTCGGAAACTAGCCGGGGCGGTCGGAGAGGAAAGGTCCTTAGGTGGAGCACTCAAGCACAAATCTTTCGATACTATCTTCCATATCTCTCAATAGGTGGCAACATCCAACCGCGGATGAGTAGTAATGGTTCATAATGACTGACGGGGTACTACAGACGATGATTTTTCGATCAACTCACTCTTACAGGGCCACCAAAGTCTCACTACAGACTGAGGGTTACGAGAGAATTGTAATTAAAACACACAGAGTAGGAGGCTGTAAAGCACGCACTCTCGATGTCCCACAATTTTCCATCTCATAGGCAGCAACCAACCGGGCTCCACCACACCGAGGTCTGACTGAGGCGCATGGGGATGGGAGTTGGGAGTTCGAACTCGAGCTGGACGAAGGGCACGGACTGAAGCTCCTTGCGAAGCCAGGTGGATCCGGTCCTCGCCCGTTTGAAGACGACGAGTCGCACTGAGCCGTCGCGCCGGCCGCGGTCGTGACAGCCGGGCGGCGTGATGTAGGCGTCGAGCGACACGAGGAAGCGAGCGCGGGAGGTCTTGCCATCTTCCCTCGTCCGTCTCAACGACGACGACGAGCAGCAGTCGGCGTGACAGCGTCTGACATGCATCGCGAAAAAGAAAAAGTTTTCGCGTACGGGGTAGCCGCCACTTTCCTCCGTCGGACTCTCTCTCTCTCTCTCTCTCTCCCTCTGTTGTCTAGGGTGTCACGGGTGTCCCTGTGGTGTTCTCGTGTGTGGGGGAGGCTCAGCAGCCCACCACCAGGGAGGTTTTGTCAGTCTCGGCGTCGCATCTGCCGCGCCGAGATTCGACGGACCGAAGGGGTAGAGGCTAGCGCTCTCGGTCGAGAGACGCGCAATACTCAAGACAATAATTACTACCACCTTCGTACAACTCAACGTGCATTCATGCAACGCGTGCAACGCTGCACAGTGCTCAGGGTTCGAGCAGGTGCAGGCGAGTGGAGGGGCCCCTGGCAGAGGCCAGGGAGAAATAAATTCTGATCTCGTCGGCGGCTCGGTCGGCGCTCTGTGTGTATCTGTCTCTCTCTCTCGCGCGCGCGCGCGACGGCGCTGGTTGGTGCGCACATGTCGGCCCTCTACACGCTCCTGCTCTCCGCCTCGATTGTCGAGGACACCGATGTCGCGTGCATACCGGCACACAAGGCCGACTGCGTCGGTCGCTGTCTCACCGGCGGCAAGCAGCGAGGGTGCATGGACCCTCCGCCAGTACCTGGCCAGTGCTCATTTCCGAGAAAGCAGGCAGTGGACTTGTGTGCCCGGTGGCCACGCTGCAGCGCAGTCAATTGCGCAGCATCTCGGCTCGACTGCCAAGCGCGCGGCTACGGCCACTCAACACTGCTCTCGTTTGGCGACGCTGACCTCTTCATGCCACGCCGTGCAGCCTCAGCCCTGGCAGCTCAAAACCTCTCGAGTGTCGTGTGCACGGCTCGGCTGCTGCGTGAGCCAAAGGCGAGCGTGTACGCGGGCGGCGTGCAGGCTTTGAGCTGCTCCTCCCTGGAGTGCACACTCGCACCCGCGCCGCAGCGCCGCCTGCAGCAAGCCGAGCAGCGGCTGCGCCGGCTGAGCCTGCGAAAAGTGCTTGTCGAGGCGGACCCAGACGCGCCGCTGCTGCTGTACGCGCCCGTCGCGGCCGCGAGCGCGAGCGTCGTGGTCGCGCCCGATGTGTCCGCGCCCGCGCACGAGCGCACTGCGTACGAGTCCGACTTTGCCAAGCACTACTTTCTCGCAGACGCGCACCACATTTACCGCACGTACTTTGCCCAGAAGCGCGACAGATTCTTCATCGAGGTCGGCGGGCTCAACGGCGCCGCGGACGGCTCGAACTCGCTCTTCTTTGAGCGTCACCTCGGGTGGCGCGGGCTGATGGTCGAGGCGTCGCCTCTCAACTTTGCGGGCCTCTTCACGCGCCGCCCGCTCGCATGGCGTCTCGAGGCGGCGCTTGGCGCGAGCACACAGACGCTCAGCTTCTCGGGGCACGGATGCTGCGGCAAGGTAATCGGCGGCGCGGGCGGCGACAGCTATCGCGTGCGCGCGGTGCCGATTGGGCGCGTGCTCAAGGCGATGGGCGTGGCGCGCGTTGACTTCTGGTCGCTCGACGTCGAGGGCGCCGAGCTCTCGGTGCTCGAGGGCATGGATTGGGCCATCCACGTGTCCGTCTTCCTCATCGAGTCCGTCAACGAGCAAATACGCAGCCTGCTGCGCGCACAGGGCTTTGATCACGCCGCGTACTCTGGCCCGTCGCGTCTCAACGAGATCTGGGTCAATCGCAACGGCGTCCCGTGAGCAGCTCGGTGCACGCACTGGCCACGTACACTTCGAGTACACTGACGTGATGGACAAAGCTCAAAGGTCCTCCTTTGCGCTGCTCTCTCTTGAGTACGGCTTTACGATACAATTGTAGGGATGGTTAGAAAGCTAGCGCGTCACGCCTGAGGGTCCCGGGATCCCGGGTGCGGGGTCTTCTGCCTTGCCTTGCCTTGCCTTGCCTTGCGTTGCCTTGCCTTCGGCCGGCGTTGCGAAAAGGGCAGCTAACGTACACGCTACGGGCGGGCCTCTCTCCCGCGCAAAACAACCCGCGAAAGGTCGGTGGAGGTCTCGGGGCCGCGCCGGACCGCTCCTACTAACGGGGGTTTGTTCAAGCCGCGCAAGGCATAGAGCAGCGGGGTCAAGCGAAGCGATTTTGAGCGATTTTGAGCTCAGGTCACCGATTTCGCCCAGCACCACCCGGCACCACCCGGCACCACCCGGCACCACCCGGCACCACCCGGCACCACCCGGCACCACCCGGCGAACACGGCGAACACGGCGAACACGGCGAACACGGCACGACGCAAATGAATTAATTTGCACGTATGTGAAATTCATCGAATTTCAATCAGTACTTATGTGGGAAATTCCAGGATCCCCCGGCACCGCCCGGCACCACCCGGCGAACACGGCACCACGGGCAGGTACGGCACCACATCAGTCAATGTAACGGTCGTAACGGTCGTAACGGTCATTGAGGTTGTAACGGTAATTTCAACTTTTATAACGTCATGTAACGGTCATGAACGGCCGCTGGCACGTGTCCTGCGTGGCTTGAAACAACCCGACGGTGTCCGGTCCCCCCACCCTACTACATTCCCTCCGCCTCCACGCGTCAGTGACTCCCCATGACTAACGCAGCGCGCCGGTGACTCCACACCACCCCAGGCCGGCGTTCGGGCAGAGTGTTTTTTGACCGGAGCTGTACTGAATGATAATGAGGGGACCGCCAGTGGACCCGTGGGTTCGCGCCGCGGTGCAGCGCAGGTACTTTGATAGCCTAACGTAACACGCATGCACACACGAGATTCGCCACGAGATCCTGCACAAGGCCCGAGAAATCGACGCTCACGGTGCATTGCGGAATTTCCTCGCCTCCTCGCCATCGCCGCCTTCGCCATGCCACCCGACGCACCGCGCATTGCTCTCCCGCCGCTCGCGCGCCTCCACGCGCCTCGCACCGCCTCTCCACGCCAAATGTTACGATCCGATTCGCCCCGATCGCAATATTTGCTTGCCGCCGTCGGGTTGCTCGGTCAACGGTGGAGGCGGCTGCTCGCCTTGCACGGCCTGATGCAGCGCGCGGATTGGGGCGTTTTGGCGCGCTGCTGCTTGCAGTACAGTGCACTGCTCGCAGCGGCGCTATTCGCAACGCCTCGAGAGTAGGCTCACCAAGACCCGGAATATTATGGGTTACGTGGCGTTCTTGCCCGGAATCATGGGTGCTGAGGAAATCCTTCTTGTAACTGAACGTGCTTTTGAATTTTCTCTGACAGGCGCGCCAGAAAGAAGACCGAAGCTTCGGTGATGTGTTCTTGCGTGAGGCTCTGGGCATGCGGGCGCGCGGCAGCCTCACCACACACCCGCAACTCCTCATTTGACTTGCTTGGTATTGCAAAAAATCTAACACAAGCAGGGAGCGGTGCATACACTCCGAACGAACCCCATGCGAGCTCCGGGCACCTGTGTGTGTATGGAATACGGCTCTATGCGGCTGGCCTCCTGCCTGCGGCTGCCAGCAGCGCTCAGCAGCGTGCGGCCCGTCCGGCGCCCCTACCTAGAAGGCTCGTCCCGCAACTAGTGCGGCTGCAAACTCGCGCTCGCTCATGACCTGGCCGTAATAAGAGGCCTCGAGAGAGACAAACTCGTCAATGAAGTTGGCGGTAAGGCCACTCTCAAGGAACTGGGGAGCGCTGACAACACGAAAGAGCCTCGCTCCGGGGTAGCGTAGCGCACCTTCCACCCAAGCTGCCCCACTCGCTGGCCACGGCAGCGTGCTGTCGAGATCAAGGACGTGGTGCTGACCTCGTGCTTGAGCTGGCAAAGATTTGCCCGATAGACATACTGCTTCTGTGGCATGACCGCAGCCTCACAGCCGCCGGCGTCGCTACGCCGAGGTGCGGCCACGGCACAAGCTCCGGCGGCCACAAAGGCGTGTGTCTGCGCGACAGCAGAGGCGTACTGTCTGCGCGACACGGTGATCGTCGCCGCCGCCGTGGTGATGAACGACTGAGCCAAGACGACGGCCATGGCGAACGCGGGCGGGACGAATGTATTCATTTGGGCAACAATCTTGTGGATGCCCCGACGAGACACGTGTTAAATTAAAAGAAGAAAATTTTCCGCAAGTGTTTGCGCTTCTTAGCTCCCCGGTCCTGGGCTCCAAGTGCTCCCGGGCTTTCACGTCCCTTGCGCGTGCAAGGCGCGAGCAATGCCAATGGAGACGTGATGCCTGCATGCGCCCGTCGAGTCGAAATCGATATGCAAGTCGATCTTTCTTTGGCTCGCCGCGAACACGACGGCCTACTTACTCAGTTATTGCAATACTCTGAGAGAGAGTTGTTTTGTTTGTACTCTGATGCTCCGGGCCGACCCGTCCCAGCTACCCGACGGTGGCACTCTTCCACGTCTCGCTCACGCTGAGAGAAACGTGTGGAACGGCGTGCAGCAGAGTCCCCACGAGTCGGTCCGCGTGCCTCCCTCGCGGGGTCCCGTACGTATACCGTTCTCACACATCCATATAAACTCACTTTGGCGCAATTTGGCCTCACTGAAGCGATGCCTCAATCCTCAATCCTCAGATTTAGATTAGGACGCTGTCTAACCTCTAGGTGCGGGGGCGGGCGGCTCCTTTAGACCTTTATTCCTTACTTTTGCTGCGATTCGTATTTCCGCACCGCGCCAGTCTTAGTCCGCACCCCTGCCAAACTTCCGCGGGTTGCACGGTCACACCGCGAGCGACTGGAGCTTGGCGACGATGCGCGGCACGCTGGAGCACACCAGGTTGCTCCAGCCCACCCCGCCGGGCGAGCACCACGACGTCGAGCCCGCGGGCGTGACCGATGCAAGGCGGCCGTCGTTGCCCTGCCAGAAGCACTCATACCCCGCCGCGTGGAGCGCGTCCAGAGACCTCTTGAGGGTGCGCTTCTCTTCGAAGCGCGGGCGCCAGTAGCCGACGCGATCGTGGTACTCAAACTCGACGACGTCGATTTTTCGAGATGCCAGCATGGCCTGCGCTCCCTCGAGAACCAGCGCGTCGAAGCCCTCTGTGTCCACGGCCAGCCAGTGCACCTTGTCCAGCCCGTGCTTGGCGCAGAAGTCGTCCACCGAGGTGGCCGGTTGCGGGTTGTTCCACCGGCCAGGCGCATTGCGCATCAGCGCCGAGGCGCCCTCGTCGCCGCCTCCGCAGCGCGACGGTCCGTAGACGAGACCGCTGCGATTCGTGACGGCGACGTGGTGCGCGATCCCTGGGACAGACAATCTCTCAAAGAGGTTCTTCAGCAGCCAGTGGTTGCACGCAGTGAGCTCGAAGGCGTGCACCCGCACTGAGGGCGCATGCAGGCGGACGGCTGGGGCTGGCGACTGGCACGTCATGCACACGCCACACGACGTGAGGACCCCGTGCGGCCGGAACGCCTTGATCGCTGCCAGCCAATCCGCGTTGGTGCGCCAGCCGGCGGAAGCAGCAGCTGCTGAGTGGAAGCGCTGCAGAAACTCTGCGACCTGATAGCCCTTGTTGGCGCCAGCGTTGATGAATGTCATCTGTGGCTCGAGTAGCAGCGGCGCAACAGCGTCGATCCACGCATGCGCCGGGCACGAGCTATTCCGTGCCACCGCAAGACCGCGCCGGCAGCGCGACAAGCTTTGCGAGGCCATAGGTGTGGAGGGGGCACGAGCCTTGAACGCCATAGATTGCCACAGCGCGGGAGAAAGCACGGTGGAGCGACAGGATCGATGTGGGCACTCGAGGTGGACATCCTTTGGGCACTGTTCACAGCCTTGTTATTTATTGATACCCCGGGTAAGCGTTCCCGTGCCTCGACAATTGCCGCTGGTAGGCGCGCCGCGCCGAACCATGGCGGGCGCGCCGCGGCTGCGCAACCCTCGTCACAATGCCAACCGCGCGCGGCCGTCGACCGGCAAGCACACGCCTCGACTCGGACACAGTGTTCCGAGGGCAGGTGTGATGCGCTAGCCGTCGCCCACCCTGGGGAGTCTGCCTCTTCGTATCTCTTTTCGCAGTCTCTCGCCGCTTCTCGCTGCAACCTTCATGCCACCTCGCGGCCGTCCCACTCTCGTCGTTCTCTCCCTTGTCACTTCCTCCTCTGTCGCGTCGTTCTCTTCTGCCTCGTCCTGCGACGCCGCCGCCTGCCGGTCCCTTGTTCTCGCGGCTTCTTTCGCCTCTCGGCGCAACTCCGTCCTCCTTGCGGCGTATCCTGGCCCCTCGAGTCTATCGAGCTCCCCTCGCGCAAGGACCACATTTCTGACTCCCACTCCGATCATTTGCCTCCAGGTCATGTTGTTGCTCAGGTCCACTCTCTCTTCGAACACTCGTGCCTCTACGGATGATGCCGGCGCTGGGGTCCCCTTCGGATGCATCGTGACATCTGACAACTGAATTTCCACTGGTTGTCCTCCTCTGAGTCATCTTCCCCGTCCTCCTTCCGCTCGGCTCTTCGCTCGGTACGTCCGCCCCACCGCAATATCAGAGCCAAACATTTGAATTCTTTTTCAAAAAGGTACACGATGCGGGCCTCGTTCCCGCCATTGAGCCGCGGCGCCCGCACGCTCGCCTCCGAGGCCGGCAGACGCAGCTACGACGCTGTGGTCTGCGGCGCCGGCATCGCTGGTGTCTCGTGCGCGCACTACCTCGCGCGCAGCGGCGCCTCGGTGCGGCGCCACACCGAGCACTGACGGTCCGGTCCCACCCAAGAGCCTTGCCGCTCCGCCGCTAGGTGCTGCTCGTCGACAGCCGGCCGCCGCTCTCCCACACCTCCTCGCTCTCGACCGAGTGCTACCGCAACTTCTTCCCCGGATCGGTCCCGCTGACGGCCTTCATGCAGCGCTCGGTCGACCTGCTCGAGGCGCGGGCCGCCGAGTGCGACAACGCGTTCGGGCTCAACCGGCGAGGGTACTGGTTCCTCTCGGCGAGCGAGGAGGGCGCAGCGCAGCACGCCCTCGCCCTCTCCGACCCGGGCCTCGCCAGCTGCGGCGGAGTGAGCCACTTTAGCGACGCCTCGCACGGACTGCGGTACCGGCATGATGCGCCGACCGGAGCAGCAGCAGCAGCAGCAGCAGCAGCAGCAGCAGCAGGAGGAGGAGGAGGGGGCGATGGGCCGGCTGCGATGCTCTTCTCCGGTCGCGAGGCGGTGCAGGCGTACGTGGGCAGCCTCCCTCCCTTCCTGGCGGCAGACGCGAGCTCGCTGCTGGTCGCATCTCGCGCGGGGCGAGAGACAGCCGAGAGACAGCCGAGAGACAGCCGAGAGACAGCCGAGATACAGCCGATATACAGCCGATATACAGCCGAGATGTAGCCGAGATGTAGCCGAGATTGTAGCAAGACGGGGATGACGACACACAGACCAGACAAGGCAAGGCACTCAGTGACTCACAGAACAGACAGGTGGGTGTCGGCCCAGATCTCGCCAGATCTCGCCAGATCTCGCCAGATCTCGCCAGATCTCGCCAGATCTCGCCAGATCTCCCCACATCTCCCCGAACAGGTGGATGTCGGCCCAGCAGATGGGCATGGAGCTCCTCTCCAAGGCGCGCGACGCGGGCGCCGCCACGCTGATCCCCTCCTCGCTGCAAGGTGCTCGAGATCTGGGGAGATATGGGGAGATATGGGGAGATCCTCTCCTTGCTGCAAGGCGTTTGAGATATGGGGAGATTAGGGCTGCTCCCCTCCTCGCTGCAAGGCGTTCGCACCGCGTCCGACGGCAAGGTCGAGGCGGCGCTGCTGTCGGTGCCCGGCGAGTCGGAGCCGCTGGAGGTGCGGACTGGGGCGGTGATCAACGCTGCAGGCCCGTCCCAGAGAGCGCATTGAATGGAGTGTACACACACACACACACACTCTCTCTCTCACACACACACACACACACACACACACACACACACACACACAGAGACAGACACGAGACACACGGGACCGGCACTGTCAAGGTCACCGCAGACGTTGGGGCATGACGCGATGAGAAGTGCCCAACACTGCAGGCCCGTACGAGACAGACACAGAATAGACAACGGGGCACGATGCGATGTGTGAGAGAAGGTGTATCGACGCTGCAGGTCCGTATGCCGGCGTGGTTGACGCGCTGCTGCGCGGCGGCGGCGGCGAGGGCGGCGGCGGGCGGGAGCTGCCGCTACAGAACGAAGTGCACGCCAAGGACGCCGCGGCGTGACGAGGAGACTTGCGCATGCCGCGCCCCCCCTCTGTCGACGCGCGTGTGGGGGGCGCCCCCCCCTTTTCTGCTGCAGGCGGTGCTGCGGGACGACCTCTCCGCGGTGCCTGGCGACGCGCCGATGGTTGTGTGGACTGACCCGGCCACGCTCTGCCGTGAAGATGGGGGAGACTACACTGTTTGTACCCTTTGTCTGATTGTGTGAGTATGTTCTTATTGCAGGTTACGCTGCCGTGGAGCGAGGAGGAGGCGGAGGCGCTGCTCGAGATTGGAGGGTTCGAGGCGAGCTACAGCCGAGATGTAGCCGAGATACAGCCGAGACGCAGCCGAGATCTAGCCGAGATACAGCCGAGACGCAGCCGAGAGATGGCCGAGATACAGCCGAGATACAGCCGAGAGATAGCCGAGAGATAGCCGAGGTATAGCCGAGGCGCCCCTCGCCGGCTCGCCGGTGTGTGTGAACGGCGTCTCTTCACGCCTCGAGCTGTGAACAGGCGAGCCTCGCCGGCTCGCTGCCCGGAGGCCTTCCTGCGCCCCTCCCCGGCCCGCTCGGCTGAACAGCGCCTCTCCACACCCCCGAGCTGTGACCAGGCTTCCACCTGCGCCCCTACCCGGGGAAGCCGCACTCGCTGCTCATGCTCTGGGAGGCGATCCACGCCAATAATAATATTAATCAATAATAATAAGAATAATAACAATAATAATAACAATAATAACTCGCTGCTCATGCTCTGGGAGGCGATCCACGTCAATAATAATATTAATCAATAATAATAATAATAATAATAATAATAATTAATAATAATAATAATAATAACTCGCTGCTCATGCTCTGGGAGGCGATCCACGCGGATGTGGCGGTGCCGCGGGAGCCGCCCGAGGAGGTTGGGCTGAGAAGAGAGAGGACGAGACAGAGAGCGAGAGGGGAAGAGAACGGCGGTGCCGCGGGAGCCGAGGAGGCGCACGGCACGGCACGGCACGGCACGGATTCTCCCACACTCACTAGTGCATACGTGTACTGTTCACACCGCTGGCGCACTGCATTGCATAGCACAGCACCACATTGCACTGGGGCTGCGGCGGTCGCTCTCCGCCGCGCTGGCGCAGGGAGCGTGGGGGAGGGTGTCGTGGCGGTGGTCGACTAGGCGCTCTCTGCCACACAGCCCACGGGACCTGAACCCTCACTGGATTCGGCACTCTGGAGGTATGGGACTAGGCGGAGCTGCGCGGTTCGCTGTTCGCCGAGCTCACCTTGCGGGCGCTGTCGCGTGCAGTGCCGGCGCTCGGGGGCTACTTGGGCGAGGACGGCTCGATGACGGCAAACGTGTCGGTGGGGGGCGGCGGCGGCGGCCCAGAGGGCGCGGGGGGAGGTGCAGTTCTTCACAGCAGGCGGGTGTGAACAGGTCGACGGCGGCTACTACTCGAAGGCGCCCGACAATTTGCCGCTCATCGGCCCTGCGGCGGGCGAGATCTAGTCGAGATCGAGATCGAGCCGAGCTCGAGCCGAGATCTAGATCGAGCCGAGGTCGAGCTGAGATCTGGCCGAGATCTAGTCGAGAGTGCGCCTGCTGTCCAGCCGCCGCGAGGCCCACGCGCCGGACCGTTCCCGGACAGCGCCAGCGGGTGTCGAGGTCCCCCCCTTCCCTTCCCATTCCCCCCCCCTCCTCCCCCCCCTCCTCCCCCAGGAGGGCCGCGAGGAGCTTACGTGTGCGCGGGGCTGTCTGGGTATGGCATCATGGCCGCCAACGCCGCGGGCGAGCTGCTGGCCAAGCACGTGACTGGCGCGCCGCTACCCGAGGCGTACGCGGCCTACCGCACCACCCACGGACCTGAACTCACACTGGGTTCGGTACTCTGGAGGTATGGTACTAGGCGTACGCGGCGGGCTTCCTGCCCGACCGGTGGGAGACCGAAGAGTACCGGCGCGGCGTGGAGAGCGGCCCCGTCGGCAAGGGCTTCCAGATCTGAGGCGGAGGGCGACCCCCGCGCCCTTTTCTTTCTCCTGACCTGACTACCGACTTGCGAGGGGGGGGGGGGGGGGCGCTGGCGCCTCTCAGCCCTGACCGACCGCGGTCTGATATGTGCAGGTCTGATGCCCGCCCCCTCAAGGCGGTGCGTGCGTACGGGGTGTGGACCCTGAGTTGACCAGGGGTTGTGCGCTGGGCCCTCCTGCTCGGCTCCAGCGAGTAGACAAGTGTTGTCATCAGCAGAGGAGATGGATCTTGACCTCAGGGCCGATGTGGCCAAGCGCTGGTAGCGTGATTTTACCTCACACCCACGGTCTCACAGTGTGCCGGCAGTCGCCGAGCAGTGTTCGAGGTTCGCCGAGCGCGGCGCAGGTTGAGGGAAGCCGCCACCGACGAGCGCGTTGGAGTATTCACTCCGGGGACAAAGACACGGCCGCACGCACACGAGCTGGCAGCTGCGGTCGTGCGGCCGTCATAGCGGCGAGGCGCGGGACCGCGTCTGTGGCGAGGTGGGTCGCGTCCCTCGATTTCCGTCAACTCAGCATCCACACCCTCTATCGTGTAAGTGCGGTCAGCTCTAAGAAAAACGAAAACAAAAAAGCTGACAGAGAGAAAATCGTCCCGCAGACTCCACGAGTCGCATGCAGTGCTGACCCCTGAGGTCCTGTCTCGGGTGTCTGCTCGCGTGGTCGTGCGCTCGGTCTCCACGACTCCACTCCTCCACGGCACCCCACTCACACAAAAACACAACCACGGACCCAAGACGCACAAGCTCAGACAGTCGAGAAAGGGATAGACCGCAACGACAGTCAGAAGTCAGCGCTGGGTCCCAGGGCGAATACCCCACTCACGAGACATGAACAACCAAGCTTGGCGAGGGGAGGCAAACCCGTCGCACACGCACAGACGCTACCTGTAAGCGCTCACGCACGCCATCTGAGAGGATCCGAAGCGGTGGTCGATCCATTGGGCGAGCGACTCTGCCCATATACGTAACACGACCAGGCGTGACTCCCTCAAGCGCTGCGGATCGTACGCGGGTGCGCCGAGAGAAGACGAGACGGCGCAGGAGGGGGCGGCGGCGGCACTGCCGGGGGTAGCCGCGGCCGCTTGCTCCCTCCGCCTGCTAGGGGGTGCGCATTGCTGCGGCAGAGGCGCAGGGAGATGTGAGCGCGATGCCGCGGTGGCGCAGGGAGGAAGGGCGAGGGACAAGCGGCAGGCGCGCACCTCGCGATCGTGGCATGCCGCCGCCACCGCTTCTGCTGCTGCTGCTGCTGCGATGTGATTTCAGAAGAAGACGCCCTCGGGCTGCGCTGCTGCACGGACGACAAGAGACGGTGAGAGGCGTGAGCATGAGCGGTGCAAAGAGGGGTGGTCTGGCACGCCTGAAGGAGTCGGTCACGGAGGCTGCAGAGCCAGCACCTGGTCGCATCGAGCGCCTCTATTTGCCTTCGATTCGCCTCGACCTGTGCGGCGGGCGGAGCTCCTTTTCACAAAGTGCGATGCAGGGCACGCAATAGGCGCGGGCGCTTCGTGGGGTGAGACCTGCTCGAGCATTGCCGAAAGCGGGACGCGCTCGCCGTCGCGCTGCGCCCTATCGGCCGGGGTGCTTGCGGTCGGTGGTCCTGGCTCGGCGGCTCGCGCTGCACGCTGTGGATCGAGCATGAGCTGGCACAGCTTATACACCGCGGTGGCCTGGCCGTGGGGAACCTGTACGCAATCAAAACTGTTTCGTGTCGCGTTATTGCACGCCCGCCGAGCGAAGACCGGCGCATATTCCCGGGGGGGGGGGGGGGGGGGAACTAATATGCGCACTTTCTTCAAAGTACCCCTTCCATCACGGTGCCGACGGGATGCGGCTCAGAGGGGGTGGCTCCTGTGCAAGCACGGCTAGCATCGTGGCGGGACCTCGCTCGTCTTCGTTCGAAAAGTCTCGTATGGCTCGTACTAACTACGTCTACGAGCAACTTTCTGTTTCGCTGACATGCGCACACCGCCGACCTGCGAGGTCGCGCCAGTTCCTGTTGTGGACCATAACTCCATGCGCTAACTCGTGTTGGCGGACCTTCAGCCGATTGGTCAGCTTCATGGCCCATCGCTTCTGAGGAGCAGTGTATAGACCTCGCGCTAAAGTCGCGCTCCGACGTGAGCCACCTGTACGCAAAGGCGAACCGATGGCCCGATGCACCCGCTGACCTGCGTAGGGGAGAAGATGAGGAGAGTCCCTGAGGACCTAGCAACAAGAAGCAACCCACGTGCGTGTGCATGTGCAGACAGACAGTGTGCATGATGCCGCACGCTGCAAGTGAGCACACCTGAAAAAGAGAGTGCACACCTTGTAAAGGTTAGGTCTCGCTGGTAGGCACATAACCAAGAACGTTTAGCTGTCAAAGCCCATTCATTAATAGCTCCCTAACAATATTTGCTGTCATCAAAACCGAATGAATCCTGACTCGGTGCTGTGGACGAGCACTACATAGAATTCACTACATAGTCCGTGTCGTAGTCTCGTGACATGTGGAAACTAGAGAAACCTTCTGAAACTCGGGGAAATCTATCTATCTATCTATCTATCTATCTATCTATCTATCTATCTATCTATCTTCTGAAACTCGCGAAATTCTCCGGAAATCGGGTGCTTGGGGGTATCAAAATCTTACGGCTCTAGTACAGTACAGATTTTGGCCTCTGTATCCGTTTTATACAGTCGTAACTCAAGCGAGCCCTACGTGCGTGGTGGAGCGGCTACATTTTTACACACACACACACACACACACACACACACACACACACACACACACACACACACACACACACACACACACACACACACTATATTTTTAACCGTGAACGCAAGCGGCGCATTTTTTTTCATTGCACCCCTCAGTGCGCTTTCGACGATGGGCTGTGGCGACAGCAAGGCGGCGCAGTATAGGGCTGAGGCTGATGACTACGCCGCCCGCAAGAAGAACGGCTTCAAAGACCCGCAGCTAGAGAAGTGGCGGAAGGACGGCATCAAGCAGAAGAAAAAGCTGAAGCATGTCGAGGACCCGCTGAAGAATAAGCGTCTCCCACAAAACCCGAAGCCCAAAAGGGGAGGCAACGGGCCGACGCTGACCGGTGCCACTCCTGCGTCCGGGCCCAGCGGAGACGAGCTCAAGAAGCAACGCGGCAAGCTGAAGCACCGGCGATGAATTCAAGGACGCTGTGTGCCTTCGTGGGCGTATTCTTATCGCCCCTCGCCAGCGCGGCAGTTCTGATGACGTTATGGTTGTGAGGGTTGTCTGGTCGTCGATGCATCAAGGTGGGAAGTTCGAGTCGGTGCCAAATACCTTCTCGAAGAATGAACACACGTGCATGTGCATGGTGCATACTAGTGGTACACCGACGCGGCTACGGAGAGAGGAGAGACAGTGCGGCTTTACCACGGAGAGCACAAGACACGCAGTGTTACAGACGCCGAGCCGCACAATAGTAGTGTGCCGCATAATAGTAGTGGGGGCAAGGGCCCGAGGGCGGGGCTGCTCGGCGCGCTCTGTGTCTTGCTCGATCTGGGGCTGGGCCCCGGGCTGCTGGGTGCCTGTGGCGGTGCCTCAGTGCCTGACAGTGACACGCTGAGTAACAGTAAGCTCTGACCTTTGACCTTTGAGCTCTGACCTGCTGTCACCTGTGACCTGGGCCGTGTCTATGTCTCTAAGCCAAGCTGTTTCAAAGTGTTTCAAAGTGCGCAAACAATCGCGCCTCAGGCTCCTCGGCGACAGCTCTGTGTGCACACACACAGTGACTGAAACCCAGTGAAAGTGAAACACAGCTGCGCACAGCTGTATTGCATTGCTGGGTCGCACCTCGGCACTGCAAACTCCCTCGCACAACACTGGGCACGGGACTGGCGCGCACTGGCACTAACACAGGTACACCACTGGAGCCGCCTAAGCGACTCCCGCGAGGACGGTAAAAAAATTCCTAAACGAAAAGAATTTTACAACAAAGCTCCCTCGCACAACACTGGGCACGGGACTGGCGCGCACTGGCACTAACACAGGTACACCACGGGAGCCGCCTAAGCGACTCCTGCGAGGGCGGCGAGGCACTTAGCTCCGTGCACCCGCCCGCCCCCGCCACAGGCAAGCTCATTCACAACCTGCTCTGCGATTGCCTGTGAAGAACGACCAAGAAAAGAAAAAGGAGAAAGAAGCGGAGTTTTAAAAACAAGAACCGGAAAGAACAAGGAAAAGAAATCGTGAGGGCTGTGAAAGATTTTTGGCAAAAAAAGAATGGCTGCATGAATTTGGACTCAAAAACCAAGCAAGGCCCCTTTTCTCTCGACCACGCACAACATCCCGAGGAAAAGAAAAATTCTACACAAGGACATTGATGCAGTCACTCGACTCCGTCGGGGGCGGACGGTTTGGGGGAGCAAGAAAGAGACCGAGCGAGGGAGTCGCGATCGGTACCCCCGTTCGATCTGAGCGCAAAGGCGCAGCGCGGGTGGAGCACGACGGTTGGGCTGCTACGTCTTGGCACTTGGGGGGTCCGTCGGCGGGAGAGAGGTCCTCACAAACACAGAGGTCCTCATCAGACACGAGAGGTCCTCGTGGACGAGGTCCTCAGTATGCGTGAGGACAGGACCTCTCTCTTGAGGAGATGCGAGGACCATA